TAAATACACCAATATGATCTAAGATTAGTAACTGATCTTAGATCACGGATAGCGATTGAATACATGCGTATAGGTATTACAAAAGGATCAAAAACAACATTCATTTGGATTTAGAAAATTAGTTATATCATCCACTGCTTTATCTTTCGAACGGCCAGGTAAGGGACACAAAAGTTGCTAATATTACCACGATGATCTTCCTTCAAATAATTCTTCACTCCGCCGTTCAAATATATGATTTTTATATATTCATAATTTCATCATCATCCTTTCAAGGATTTATAACGAACCAACTCAATGACCTGCTCCCAGTTGGCTTGTTAGCTTGATTGGTAGAGCGCTGCACCGGTATCGCAAAAGTTGTATATAGATGGTTTTCACATTGACGTCATCAAATTGTACAGTCAAAATAGCGAGGTTTTACCAATTCTTATTTAAACTAGGTTGAAGATAAACAAAAAATAAACCTTTGTACAAGTTTTCATTCCCGTAGCATGTTTCATTTTAAAAATACAACAATTTGAACTTCCGAGTTTTTACAGTGCGTGACACCAAAAAAGGATTGTTGTCTCGTTGAAAAAGTTTCTTCTCTTGATTTTCAGCAGTATAACCATTTCAAGTATTAGAAGATATGCTAGTTTTCGAGTGAAAAGAAAGAGCTTTGATCGAAAGAGTGAACTCCAGATGCTTTTGTTGATTTCCGGTGGCCATACTGGTGCACCAAAACGGTAAACCAATATGGCGTCTCCATACAAAGCTCTACAAGGGTGCGTGAAACGTTTCGGCAAATAACTCAGAAACTGTGGGCCACAAAGACCTGAGACTTGGACAAATTGTTTATAAATTAGTCTTATATAACATTTCACTTTCTTGGCTTCTTCCACTGGACGGCTTCCAATTTATTTTTTTGTTGCGTGACAGTGAAAACGATCTATATAACTACGATGATCTTCCTTCAAATAATTGTTCACTCCGTAGTTCACATATATGATATGATTTTCACATATGCATAATTTCACCATTGTAAACGAGGAAAGCAGTTTCAGCCTTGAGACAAGCTGGGAACCCCTTTTCAAATTATTGCATTAACCTTTAAAAGCGATTAGAAATATCTGCACCCCACCCCTCCTGCGTTATAGCCAGACTCGGAGGTTAGTCATAGTACTTTAAAGGAAAAGTTGCCATTAACTTCCCATTGATTCCTTCACATCGAATTCGAACTATGATCTTTCAACTTGGACAACAGTTATTAGAAATTTTGCCCGCGGATTTGTTTGCTACACTTGCGCGCTGTTTTAAAAGCCCAACCAACAGCACTGTAGATAAATATAAGAACAAATTCCGTCCAAGTTGAAATTGGCGGGAAGCTTCTACGAAAGAAAGTTTAGAAAAGCGGTGGCTGCACTACGTTCATAGGGACGAAAACAACAGACCAAATTTTTGGACAAAACATTGCCTCACATTTTTGTCGCATCAGGGTCGCTTCTAGGAATTCACGAGGGACAAAATGACGTCACATATAGGTGCCAAGGAGTAGTGCGTCATCCAAGATGGTGTCTTGCAATGCTTTGTTTACATTTTTTTTTCAACTGACCCTTAAGTCAATTATTTGTCTCCGTGAATTGAAAAAAATGGAAAGCTAACGTTTAGAGTACTAGCCTTTAGTCATAGTGATAAAACCAAATTTTTATGTGACACCCAACAATGGAGCAGCACCACAGCTGGTGTAGTGTTCCTCGCAACCGTTTTTAGTGTCGTCACACAAGGGAGGAACTCCATGACGACGCTAGAAACAACTACAAGAGAGACTACAGCTGGTTTAACCATAGCTATGATTGATTTCTCGTAGATGTACTTTCATATATGACAGCCTGGGAAACTTGTACAAGAAGAAATGTGGTCAGGAAGAACTGCAGTACATTGTTGATCCTTTTGGCAATCCAGGAGTCGATATTATTGGCCAGGTAGATGAGATTTTATCGCTCCAGTTTCGTTTTCTTTACGAAGGTACCAAGGAACACATTGCTTAAAGGCCAAATCATGTTAATTTGTTTTCCTTTGGTAGATATCTGGCGGAAATGTAACACATTTTGTTCACTGTGAAGAATTTGGTTTAGTTGCAATCGCTGATATGAATGGAGACTTGTATTACTATGAGTTTGATGGCATAGGGTAAGTAAGAGTTGGCTTCCCCAGTAAGCAAACCCTTTCTTGTTTTCTTTGTGTTTTCTTGTCTGTTTTGTTTTGTTTTTGTTTTTCTTTCAAAGTATATCTCTTTAGGGTCTGTTGGAGAAGCTAGTTTTTATTCATGTGTTTAATGAATGTGTAACATGCCTTACCACGAAGGGATCCACCTCAGAGAATTAACAAAATTTCAGAAGGTCGAGGGTCCAATAAATTGAAAATGACATCAATAAGGACTTTGTTTCAATAACGTTGATTTTTGAGTAAGTTGTTGGTTTGAGTAAAGAAAAAGACTTGTTGATCACTTGTTGCTCCTAACTTTTCCCCCGAGAGGCCATTCCCACCGGTTTTTTCGGGATCCGGGATCTGGCCGAGATTGGAGATTTATGACAACATGCCGTGCATTGTTACGCGACTATTGTGATCTGGCCACGTTTCCCATCTGACTATCTGCCATAATGACTTCGAACAAACAGGCTGGATCCTTTTTCGGTAAGACTTCGACGCCTGGGATGGGGATTGGCTAATAAAAATCCTGAAGTTGTCGGTATTGAAGAAATCTATGTTCTGTCCTCCTGAGCAACAGCGAAGAGTGAGAGTTCAGGGGACAACAATTTTCCAGTTCTATAAGCAGAAAGAGTGGTCGGTTTAGGACAAATTGTTATGCAAATGAGGTTAGTTTTCCATACAAACTCTTGTATTTTTGGGGCAATGATGGTGAACATACGTGGACATAGGTGGATTCAAATTTTTGTGTGGACTCATATTCCATATTTGGTAAGTGACCGGAAGTAGAGGTTAAGGGAAGTGAGTAGGAATAGAAGAGGAGAGTATCTAGCCCTAACTCTAAACCCAAATACTAACCGTTACAGGTGAGAGTCATGTCTAACCCTTATCAGTCGAGGCAGTGCTTAACCCTAATCAGCCGAGTTCAGTGCTTAAACATAATCAGTCGTGGCAGTGCTTAACCCTAACCCCTCGAGTTCAGTGCTTTACCCTAATCCCTCTAGTTCAGGGTTAACCCTAATCAGTCGTGGCAGTGCTTAACCCTAGTCCCCGAGTTCAGTGCTTAACCCTAATCAGCCGAGTTCAATGGTTAACCCTAATCAGTCGTGGCAGTGCTTAACCCTAATCCATAGAGAGAAGTTCTTAATCCTATTCAGTAAACATTGCTAGAACTATTTACTTAGACAACCTCGTTCCCAGGGTTCTCTCCTACTCACCCTACGGAGCGAGCGAGAGAGAGAGACCCTGGAAAACGCTGGTCACGTGTCTCCCAGAATCTGGGAGACACGTGGAACACGTGGAACATAATCAGTCGTGGCAGTGCTTAATTCTATTCAGTCGTGGCAGTGCTTAACCCTAACCCCTCGAGTTCAGTGCTTTACCCTAATCCCTCTAGTTCAGGGTTAACCCTAATCAGTCGT